TTTTTCGACCTCAGGTAGGTTCCTCCTGAAGGACGGGCCCCTGTTTATCCACTGGAAGAGCCATACTGACGTTTTGTTTCTATTTTAATTTTTATTAATCCCACGAGTGACGCACGGGTCCAAAAGTCCACCCAAAGTTGCCCGGCACGTTGAGTAACGGTCTTTTACAGACAGGGTTCCGAAGCTCAGGGGATCGTTCGCGACCTCATAACGCAGTAGCCATTCACCTCGGCACGATTAACACCTTGAGTTGCGGGTTGTTGTTCGGAGTTTTCCTTCCTAAATGGGTTGCTAAGCAACAATAGACAGAGACACGATTGGAAATCAAAGAGAATGACGCTGGTTAAAAAAAAAAAAAAAAAAAAAAAAAGTTTACATTGTTTGTCTTTGCTGTGAAATTTAAAAAAATAATTTATTGGCCCATCTGTAAATTCCACGATATTCCTTTCTCAGAAAGATCGCATTTTCTTTTCATAAATTCATAAAATGTAATATGTAAATGTAAATTCGTTATTTTTTAAAGTCGTTGAAAATAGCGTTGTTTAAAAAAAAAAAAAAAAAAAAAAAAGTTTACATTCGTTTGTCTTTGCTGTGAAATTTAAAAATAATTTATTGGCCCATCTGTAAATTCCACGATATTCCTTCTTAGAAAGATTGCATTTTCTTTTCATAAATTCTAAAATGTAATATGTAAATGTAAATTCCGTTATTTTTTAAAGTCGTTGAAAATATGTTGTTTTAAAAAAAAAAAAAAAAATGCAATCCTTCCAAGAAAGAACATCGTAGAAATTGTATTGTTTTTACCTGTAATGTTTTTTTTGCGGGGTGGATATTGAAAACTAAGGATATGAATGAGAAAAATTAAATAATTGATTAATCTATTATTATTTAAAGGAGAACCAAATAAATTAAATAATAATAATACGAAGAAAAAACGCTTTGTAAAAAAATAAAAATAACAAAATTTCATATGCGTTAAAAAAAAAACTTGGAAGAAACAGCCGCTCAACGAAACAAAACATCACTACACTAGAGAGTATTTATATTAAATTTTTTTTTTTTTTTTTTTTTTTTCTCCATCACTAGTCCTAGTAACAAAAATAATTGTCATAAAAAAAAATTAAAAGTTTATATCTGTTTATCTTTGCTGTGAAATTTAAGAATAATTTATTGGCCCATCTGTAAATCCCGTTATTTTCAAAGTCGTTGAAAAATAGCGCTATTGAAAAAATACGCAATCCTTCCAAGAAAGAATATCGTAGAAATTGTATTGTTTTTACCTGTCATGTTTTTGTTTTTGGGGGGATATTGAAAACTGAGGGATATATGAATAAGAAAAATTAAATAATTGATTAATCTATCAGTATCATTTAAAGGAGAAACAAATAAATTAAATAATAATAATACGAAGGAAAATTCATGCTTACGTTAAAATAGTAAAAATAACAAAATTTCATATGCGTAAAAAAAAAACGTTACGTTTGGAAGAGCTTTAAACACGTCATTCTCGTTGTAATCCCAACCGCGTCTTATTATTATTATTATTATTATTATTATTATTTCTGTTATGGACACACTACCTACCAAGTTCGGGGAAAGACCTAAGGTCGTGGTGTGTTGTTTTTACATTTCATGTTAATTTTTTTTTTTTTATCTCCGATGAAGCTTAGCGTTACATAGACAAAGTTCTCCTTAGTGTGTGTGCTGTACTTAATAAGACAATTTTCTGTATGAAAGGGATTCTTTTCAATGTGTTGTTTTGTTCCATTTTTATAATTCCAAGTGCACCTATTACCACTGGTATTATTCTTGTTTTCAATTTCCACATTTTTCTATTTCAATTTCCAGGTCTTTGTATTTTGATAGTTTTTCAAATTCCTTTGGTTGCTATGTTACAATCCGCTGGGATGCTTTCATATCAATTAGTAGGCAAGTTTTTTTTTTCTGGTTTTTGACAATAATGTCCGGCCTATTTGTTTCAATTTTTCTGTCTGTGTGATGGTATATTATTATTATTATTATTATTATTATTATTATTATTATTATTATTATTATTATCCTTTGATTTCTCGCGTGTACACATTTCTTTTCGGGTCCCGCCCAGAGACCTAAGGTTAGAAATGGCATCATGACACTTTCCACTGACAATTTTTTTTAAATACATAGATAAAGCCCTTCGTAAAGTGTGGGCAGTGCTTGTGAGAACAATTTTTTTCTATTTCTTTGAAGCATGGACTTCCAGGAACCCCTTCAATTAGTCTACTGGAGTCTTTTCCAACAATCCTAGGGCTCCAACTACGAAAGGGACTGTTGATGTTCCCATGTGCCACATTTTAAAGATTTCTATTATTATTATTATTATTATTATTATTATTAATCTGTTTTGCCTTTACATTGCGTAGTACAAGTTTCTCGCAAGTTTCAACTAGAGACTTCAAGAGACAAAAAGTTTTTTTTCTATGCAAACAGATGATGTGCCATGTAATCAGGAAGAAGTGAAATGTGTATTTGTGGATACTGCAAGAAGAGACATCTACGCAAGTTGCTAGAAGTATCCATGAGTATGATTTTTGGCAATTCAAATATGGCCACCAGAAATTTGAAACATCGTCAAAGACACATTACAAACTGCAGGGACTGCCATTTCAATAAGAAAACATGTCTTTGATCACGAAATATGGGCGATTAACTTTGATTGTTCTGTCTGACTGTATTATTATTATTATTATTATTATTATTATTATTTCACATTAATTAGAAAAGGCAGAAAAGATCAATACGCTCTCAGTGGATTTACCCCTTCATTAAAACTACAGCACGTACAAATACTAGTAGAAAATATATAAATTAACAGAGGAATACTCGGATGATTTTCGAAGTTACTTTATTTTTTATGCAGATGTATGTTTATTTATCTGTGGGTGTACGTATTCTTATGTGACAACAGATATGGCTGCAAAATGAAATACAATGATGCTTTGAAACCATTATAACGTAATTCACATTATATATCACGATGAAATTGTAAAAAGAAAGACGTATGCTTTCTCCCTCTTTCTTGCCCTCCCCCCTTACGCAGGTAAATAAATAGCTATATACATAAGTAGATATTACATTTACAATGTCAACAACGGTAAATATATATGTATATCAAACAATGAAATTAATGTCCCATTCATGCCTTTTGCCGTCAAGTTGGATTATACTGTTACACGTTCAAATGACCATCAAATATTAACAAGCCATTTTTTTCGCTTTTGGATTCATGCCTGCTATTGTCCACCTTTTTTACCTTCTTTGCAAAAAATGCTCCAGTTGTTAATCTGCGTCTAAACGTCTCCCCCGCCTTCTACTACGAATGAGCCTCTTGCTTAAGTCTGCCTCTCTTTCGCCAAAAACGATAGACGACCATTTTTTTATACAAATCAAATGCCACAAAGTTCAGCGAAAGAATGCGACAATTGTCTGTATGCTTGTCTACATTTCAGTATTTTCTTTTAAGACTTCTTTGTTTCCTTTTTTCCTCTCTTTTCTTATTTTTTCTTGTTTCTCTCTTTCCTTCTTCCTTTCTTTTCTTCTTTCTTAATTTTCTTCTTTTTTACTTTTCTTCTTTCTTTCTATCTTCTTCATTTTCATCACTTTCTTTTATACATTCTATTTTTCATCCGTTTTTCTTCGTGGCATTCTGTTTTTTTTTTTCTTCTTTTTTCCTTTCTTTCTTTATTTACCATTTTTTTAATTTCTTTATCTTTTCTTTTTCGATTTTTATTTCTTTTCGTTTTCTCTTCTTTTTCGATTGTTAGCAATCTGACTTTTTTCCTGTTCCGCTTCTTTTCTTGTCCATTTTTTCATTTTTTCTTCCTTTGATATTTCTTTCTTTTTTTTTCCTTTTCCTTTCTTTTGTTTTCTCTTTCATTTCTTTCTTTTCCTTTCCACTTATTTATTTACAGTTTCCTTTTCTCTCTTTCTTTCTTTTCCGTTTCTTATTTATCATTTTTATTCTTCTTTTGCTTTTTCTTCCTTCCTCTCGCCCCTCTCTCTCTCTCTCTCTCTCTCTCTCTCTCTCTCTCTCTCTCTCTCTTTCCCCAGCTCTTTCTTTCTGTTTTTTTTTCTTTCGGATATTTTCCTATTTCTTAATTTTCCTTTATAATCTTTGTATCTCTGGTCAAGTACCCTTCATCCTTTAATGTATTTCCATAGTATGTTGAGTGACGAAGGTAGTTACGCACTTTTCCATTGAAACCATTGTAAATGTTTGCGTCCAGGTGAAAAACTAAGATTTCTAATGCTGATTTTCAAGACTAAAAGTTTGGCGCAACACAATCTTTATATTTGACGCTACGTAATATTAAAAGTCTCTACCATAATGCAACTTCCTCCTTACAAACGGAAGGCAAAAAGGGATCAGGATGATTCGATTCTGTGTTCATACCATGGTAGATCCTAGCTGTAAAGGAATGTAGCTCGTCTGAACATTTGGCATGAAATTAATCTTACAGTAACGAGAGACTAGCAACGTTTCAACTATAGGAAAGGGATTCTAAGCTGGAAAATATTCCATTACCCATAAGGCCGCGTAAAGGCTTTTGCTCACTGTCAAAGATGGAAATTGAGAATTGAACAGAGCCAGACCAAATTCTCTTTTAAGTGGAAAGAAAGAAAGAAAGAAAGAAAGAAAGAAAGAAAGAAAGAAAGAAAGAAAGAAAATGACCTTTTCGATGGATGCTTCATGCTTGTAGTCTTATGTCAGTAGTAAGCCAATCTTAATAAATAAAGAATTTAACATTAAATAACTATAAAGAAACAAATTCGGAAAATATAAAACTAGAAAATCAATCCAAATCAAAACAAAAAATAAGTCTGGGAGGGAAAAGGAAAGAAGAAACGAGCAAGAATGAAAAAGAAGAAAAATCAAAAATTAAAATTAAAAACTTTTACATATGATAGAAAAAAAAATGTCCAAAAAGAAAGAAAGAAAAAGTCAAATATTAAAATATCAATCAAAAAGAGGAAGAAATAGAAAGACAAAATAAAAAATCGTTAAATAAAGAAAAGGAAAAGAAAGAGAAAAGATAAAAAAAAAACGAAGAGGAATGAAAAAGCAAAATAAGAATGGAAAAAATGAAGAAGGAATGAAGAAATAAAATAAGAATGGAATAAAACAAGACATTCAATGAAGTAAAAAGAAAGTAAATATTTCGGAAATAAAAGAAAAAGAAAAATATCAACGATGTAAACATGAAACTAAAAAAAAAAGAACGCAAAAGAAGGCCTCTGTTGGTTTCCTTTTGATTTTCATAAAACACCTGCTTTATTGTCCCCCTCAGGAATTGACTGGATTATTTCTTAGACAGAATTCACCTGCAGCCAAACGTCAATTAACAAGTGTCATGGCTAAAATGTCAGCGGTCATTGCTTTTTAATCATGTTATGTTTGTAAACGAACGAAATTTTATTATAGGAATCGTTTGTAATTGAAATGATTTGTAATAAAAGAAAATAAGAATTTAGTTTAAATATTTACTGAATATTCATCTCCTGCTTATATTTACTTTAAATTAGGATTTCCCAACGTGGGCGATATCGCTCATAGGGGGGGGACGATTTCAGCTGTTGTTTGGGTAATGAGCAACTGAATAGAAAATGGTGGATGACTAGAAATTTTGGTAGGCGACGTAGGATTTCATTATTAAAAAGTTATTTCAATATGCTACTCGAAAAAATGTTCAAAGGTGATTAGCAAAGAACCTGTGTAAAACCAGAAGACTGAATTTGAATAACTGAATCACATTCCTATATAAGATATAAATATTTCTGCAAACAAGGAATATTTGGGATTTTCTATAGTTTAACATTCATATAGTTCTTCAGTATTAGATATAGCAAAAATATATTCGTTGAATTTTGATTAGTTGCTAGTAGTGTATATTCCCTTTAAGTTTTATGATTATGAACAAAAAATAATTTTTTGTCAACATTTGCAACGCTAAGATTAAACATAAAACAAACCTTGACAATAAATCTAAATTATATACACTCTTGTGCAAATTAATTGAAACAACCGTTTAGTTTCTTTTGTTCACCATACGGTCAGTTTTAGACCCACTGGAGTGACAGGTTCTAATCGATTTCTATATCTTCCTAAGACTAAGTCATTTGCAGTGTTGTGCAGTAATATTATTCTCTGTCCAGGGTGTAAATTTGTTTGGTTTTGAAAAATATTGCGTCATCCGTGATTGCATCAGATTTTTATCACACCCAGACACTATTGTTTCGACAGTCGATTAATTGTCTGCGATGGACTTTACTCCAAGGAAGCGTACGAAAATTATAACGCTTCATGAACACACTGGCAAACCTTACCAGTGATCAAATCAAAGTACTACAGACTGGCTCGGAAACTCTTTTGATTTAAATCGAATCGAGAATCTGTGGTCAATCTGCAAGAAACGACCACGTGGAATAGACATACGAAGTACTAACATGTGCACTGGGTGATGTTTGGAAAAATACGAAAAAATAAACAATAACGGAATTATTCGTTTTGTTTCAGTTAATTTACACAAGGTTGTATATAGTCTTCAATGATCATGTTTGCTTTCATGTGTTCATTATTACGGTAGTAGCAGCAGCAGTCGCAGTATAAGTCTGCGTTATTTGTTACCTCCCTTCGGTATTTTTACTACATCATAAAGTCAGTTTACGAACCAGTAACAAACTTTTGCCAAACAATTTGGCGATGCTTTTGAATATTTACTATACAGATGGGCGATGGAAAAAAGTCCCATGTGAAAGTGGGCGATGACATCAAAAAGGTTCGGTACCCCTGCTTTAAATTAAAATGTAATGAAATTTGGTAATAGAAAATACAGAGTAAAACAAACAAAGCTAACGATAAAAAAAAAGTATTAGATACGTTTACATCATATATAATTCATAAGTTACTTGATATTAGTTTGCAGTTACAACTCGGTAGCGTTTTATTTCACCTTTAACAAGGACTAAAACTTTTTTAAAATCTTGGTTTCATATTCAATGCACACGATTTTTAAATCCTTGACTTTTTCGGTCTTTATGACGAATTCAATCTTTCAAGCTTCGCCATATATTTTCAATTGACGATGTCACTGAAGACATCTACATCGTTGCAAACAAATCTTTCGTTAGCTTCATGATTCGAGTCATTTATCTTGTTGAAAGATCCAACCCGGTTCATTACACCGACGAAAAAAGTAACTTCCAAAATAGATATATCGTTTCATTCGTGTTTCGTTCAATCACGCCAAATATTCTTCTGTCAAACTTTGATATTTTCTTCTCTTAACTTTATTATGGAGATTTCCTTTTGCAATAATATTCACCCTGTATGCGCCACTCGAGGTAGACTGTTACCGAGTAAGAGGCACATTTTATGAAGGTATGCGGGGAACATAACGGTTAGCCTTAGACTTGAACAGGTAAAGATTGTAGTAATCGAGGAAGCATCCACGTGGGAGCCGAGTCTACAAAGTATCAGTTCGTAGCCAGAGTCTGTTCAAGTGGAACTTACATGCCAATAATGAAATACGAAAGGAATGATGTTGATTCGCTACAATGAGAGTGGCATGGTGAGTCTTAACTGTGATGGTTAGAACTGTCGGTTCATGTGTGCATTTTCCATGGCAATAGCTACAGAGTGGCGAGAGGCTTGTAACGTCACGTGTGTGGAAAAGCAGTTTTAGGGTGGAAAGTAAAGACGGCGGTACGCTTTTAGACTTTATTGAGACTGGATAGTGAAGACTGTGCAGCTACGACTCATATATAGCAGCACTACTTCATTCTCGTCCTGATCTGGTTCTTGTAAACGTAGTAGATAGCAGGAGTCAGGTACTTACTCGATCGGTAAAGGGGACTAATCATTTTTCCAGCATCTTTAACGATGGATTCGTACGTACGAGTTCAACTTGAGGTTTGCGTGAGCGTAATTGCCAATAGGCATCCAAAGACACGGGTTCTCCCTGCGAAACCTTCGACATTGCGATAGACGAAAATTCAGAGTCCGCTCAGTGATGATACTACATTACTAATTTGATTTTGTGACATTGAATCTGATCAACAAACTGAGCTGTTAGAACTAAGTCAGATGAGAGATAAGCCTTGGTCATCGAGAATTTTAGTGGTACACCCATACACTGTAGTATCATCAGATCAACCAAAACATTAGGCAGATCATTAATAAAGTGTAGAAAAGGAGTTAACTGAGAAACGAGCTTTGGGGGTCGCCTGTCTTGATCACATAGAGGACAGCCCGTTAAAAGCTACTCACATGGGTATCGGAGAACTGACCGTAAAAAAACGACTTTGGTTCATAGGCGCCTCCGTCATTTCTCCACACCTGATGAGTTGGATTGTGACCCAAAAGTTAATTTTTCGCCCCCACACAAAGAACTTCATTACAAAAATAATCAGGTTTCTCCACTTTCTCACAATCGATCTTCATCCAAATATCTCGGTGCTCTTTCTTCAATAGTTTTTTTTTTGCGTTGGCTACAGAACTTGTAAAAAGATTCTAGTGCATCTCATCACAAATAGTTCCGTTAATAACCAATGTTAAAACTGTTCTAAAAGTGCAATGGATGCGGTTTACCTGACATTTTTCGAGTGGTTCTGCAAGCCATTTTTCAAGGAAAATGTCTTTTACAAATATCCATCCAATGCTAGACAGGGATATTCAACATCTTCGCAACTGCTCTTCGTTATCTACAATTACATCATTCTTATTTGGTGGGGGGAGGCGCTCAACTATTACTTGAAATTTTGGTCCTGATGTCACTATGATCTTTTGAGGTATTTGTGGAAGATCCTCAACAATCCTTAAGAATTGAATTTCTTTTTAAATAACATTTATCAAATGTTTAGTATTGTCCGAATAAATTTTAACACCTTTGCTATTTTATACTGAAAATATATGCCCAGAATGTGATTCATGCCAAAAAACACCAGAAGTATGAATAGACTTTAATGTTATCAGGAAACTTTGATCTAAAAGGAGTTGGCCTCTGGTGACCCCAATATATACTAAGCTAAGATGTACCAAACTAAGTGTTGTATGAGGTTTCACATCACAGCATCAAAGGATTATGAGATATTGATATAGAAGGTTCTCTCCTAGCCACCAAGTGCAGAATCAGGCCTCAAAAGTTAATTCAGCGAAATAAAGCAAAAGGTCAATCCAGTTTAATTTAGGTTATATACATACAAACAAGCGGATGACAGAAAGTTATATAAAGACCCAAGCCACAAGAAGAGGGACAGGACACTCAAGAGAACTGCAAGTAAAAGAATAGAACCCTCACATCCCTACGAAATGAAGATCGAACGCTCGAAGAAAGTGCTCAAGGAACCAAAACTTCACGACTGACGCAAATTTAAGGAGTACAAAAAATAATAAAAGATTTTATACTTAGGTAATTACTCTGTCTGCACACTAAGACGAGTTTTGACACAAGGTATTTTTAAGGTGGGGACACGAGCGCGTACACCCGGACCAGGAACAGAAATTGCCCGCAGCCCCCGCAACCGTCGATACGAGCACCGATCACTATCTCTGGTGCAATGAGAGGGCGTGTCCTCGGGCAGCACTTCGCTAGGTCTGGGCACCTTTCAGTATAATTTTTCTCAGTTGTGCCTCTGTCCTTTGACGGAGTCGCCCCTGAGTGCACTCTGTCCAAATACAGAGACGCAACTGAGAGATGATAAATAATGTGTTACAAAGCCCTCAAGAGCGGGATTTACACACTAAACGACTTTTTACCTATAAAAGACTTAGTATGCTTATCTAACGCTACTAACATCACGTGACATATGTTAATATTGAATGTAAAGTTCTATTTTCTATAATAATTTTGAATGCCAATGCACATATGTATTTCATAAAGGAATTAGTCTGTTTAAATAGTCACTTCCTGCTCGATAATTTTACTACGCAAAAGTTACAGTGGTTAACTAAGTAGATTCACATACCATTGAGTTCGTGGCAGATTAAGCTAAACTTGCTTGACGAGCAAATGTAACACTTTTGCGTGACAATCGTTGTTTGCATGCGCTGAATCGAAAATTACTGAGATGTCATCTCCAGTGGGTAGCTTTTTAGACGTCAAACTGCTGCTGAAACGAAAAATACACTGTGTGAAATAGGATGCAACTAAAAGCAAACAATTTATGGAGAAAAATATCTCATAAGAATTTGTGTAGAGGTTGAGAGA